TATTTATTTAATAATATATAAAAATTATATCAAAAAATAATATAAAAATTTTTTCTTTGCCTATTAAGAAAACTAAAAAAAGGAAAAAAAACTCAAATGCCCCTAAAATGCCCTCCAGCCTGGCACAGTCAAACTTATCTAGTTCCCTTTTTCTCTCTAATTTCTCGCGATATTTTTATATTTGATGCTCAGAAACCTCCTTCCATTTCCGAAACTTCCATAACTGTATGAGTCAATTCGGGAAAGTACTACTGTGAAATCTCAGTTCTGCCCCTAACATTTCAAAAAAATTCTAAGAAATCAGCTTGCCTTCCCTACGTGGGCACCAGTGGGGGGAGTTATACAGCTGTCAACCGGTTTCTTTAACCTTACCGGCTGAGTCGGTTACCCTAACCCCACCTTGCCCCTTTATAAACCCGCGTTTCCTCTCTCTAGCATGATACAAACAGCCTCTCTCAGGCTCTTCCTTTCTTCTCTTCGCCGCCTCGAATCCGTTTGGGGATTTTGATTTTTGAGGGTTTGGGTTTCTGGTTCCGTCGGTTCGATTGAATCAATGGATCAGGATTTGGATCGTGTGAAAGGTCCGTGGAGTCCTGAGGAGGATGAGCAGCTGCGGAAGCTGGTGCAACGGTACGGTGCGAGGAATTGGTCGATGATTTCGAAGTCGGTTCCTGGTCGGTCCGGGAAATCGTGCCGTCTCCGCTGGTGCAATCAGCTCTCGCCTGAGGTGGAGCACCGGCCGTTCACTCTCGAAGAGGATGAGATCATCGTGAAGGCCCACGCCAAGTACGGCAACAAGTGGGCGACAATAGCCAGGCTCCTCAACGGTCGTACGGACAATTCCGTCAAGAACCACTGGAACTCCACTCTGAAGCGGAGGCTTGCTGCGGAGGACGGAGATTCCCTCCAGGAAATGGAGAAAAGACCGGTTAAATTTGCAAGATCCGGGAGCAGTAATTACCCGGGAAGTCCTTCGGTCTCTGGTTCTGACGTGACCGATACGGGACTCCCTGTAAGCGAGGCACAATTCGTTAGCCTTTCGACTGAGCTCACCCTGGGCCGTTCTTGGACCGAGCTGAACGAGTTGCAGAACAATGACTTGGCTCGCGGCAAGGGGATGTTCGCGCCCCCGACGCCGCCACCACCCCCGCCACCGCCGCCTCCGCAGCAGCAGGAGCAGGAGGGTGGTGGTGGTGTTGCATCAACAGCAGCGTCGATTGGACCTGAATTTTTAGCCTTGTTGCAGGAGATGATAAGGACGGAAGTGAGGAATTACATGGAGGGGGTATAAGGATTGCTGTTAACCTAGAATCAGTGCTGGAAAAATGATGGATCAAGTGGGGAGAAATATGGGAGTTAGCGAAACCTGGATTTGTTTTGTTTTGTTTTGTTATGTTTTTTTAGTTTCAGTTCAGTTCAGGACACAGATTTACAACAAAAAGTCCAGGAAAAAGGAACAAAAAGGAAAATCCTTTGCCCTTGTTAAAAGAAAAAAAGAGGGGGGTAATTTTGCGAATGAGGACTTTAGAATTTTCAGAAATTAGATTGGAGAATCAGCAATGTAAGAAAGGCAATGTTAAATCAGTGGAAAGTAGATGAATTTATGTTGGACAAAATTGTTC